TGGTCCTCCATCTGCACGGAGCATCACCTCCAGCCTCCATCACCCGAATTCATTCCCTTCCTCCTGGACCTTTCTCTTCTCCTTTTTTTCCTGTTAATTATCTGATGGGGTTGGGAGTGCATCTCTGCCTTGGAGTCCTAGGATGCGACAAGGGAGAATGATGCCAGAGACTGCAGTAGGAGGGATGGGGGTTACCTTTTGGGAAGAACCAACTGATCAGGAAGGAATGTTGGAGGGGAGATCCTGAGGCACAGCTGTGATCACCCAGAAGAGGCTTTTCTCTAGTCACAGAGAACAGGATAGCAGAAACCAAGTCGGAGGTTGCAGTAGGATGAATAGAGAGGCTAGGTCTTAAGAACTTCCCCACAGCCAGGGATGGTGGGAGGGAGTGACCATGGGGGAGAAGCTGGGAATCTCTTCGTGTCCAGGGAGGGATAAAGAGAATATGATGCTGCCTGTCTGTGCGTGCTGGATCGTGGGATCCAGGGGGATGAACTGAATGACCTCTCAAAGTCCTTGGGGACCAGAGTGCCTTTGCTGCCCTGTGGTTTACCTCACCCCTACCAGAGCCATGGATCAGGCCGGGATGTTAGTAAGGTGCCCTGGAAGCAGGCTCCAGAATTTTACTGTGTTCTCTTCAGCCCTCTGCAGAGACTGCAGGGGTGGGAGTAGGGAGGGAGGAGACCGTGCTTGGGGGAGACCTGAGGGCCAAAAGCTCTCTGAGCATTTCTTCCCTAGGGCTCTCTCTTTCTCTCTCTCTCTCTGCTATCCATGTGGCCCAGCTCTATTCTTCATCCTCCATCCCCCATCCCTCTTTCCCTCAACGTCACTTCCTGGCATTAGAGCATCCTTCTGCTTCACGCTCTCTTCCTCCCAGTGCCTGCACTTGAGTCCTATCCCTTACCAGCCTGGCAGACCCTGCTTCTCTGGTTCAGCCCTCGCTAGCCTGGCCCTTCTATAGTTACTCCCAGTCTGACAGCCCCAAATTCTTTCCCCTTCCACAACTTTCTGGTTATCGGGCCCTGTCCACCAGCCCCTGCCAACCTGAATAGACTGTACCCAACCTGGAGGGGGTGTGAGGTGACAATAGGAAACCTTATGGGCATCAAAAGTCAAAGCTGCAAATTAAAACTTTTTTTTCCCCAGAGGGAGTAGCCCTGTAATCAGGAGGTAGCAGGGAGACGGGTGGGAAGATGTGTTCTGGTAGATACCAGTCTGAACCAGGTCCATTATTCAGGGTCAGGAGTGCCAGTTCTGTCCCCGCATTGCCCTGATTCACTGTGTGACAATGGGCACACCTACCCTTGGCTTCCCCTTCCAGCTCAACTGGGAATGCCTATCTCTCCCAACCTAGAGATTGGAAACGCCTGTTTTCTCCTGGCCCATTTATCAAAACCTGTGTTATTTATTTATGTGATCATATAATTACTCAATGTCTGTAAACCCTATGAGGGTGGGATCATGACTGTTTTGTTCACCATTCAACTCAGTGCTAAGTATTCAATAAACATTGTTGAATGAATAAATGAATGAGAAAGAAGATCTCAGGATGAAAGAATGGCAGCAGAGGGAGTTCTCAAAACTCAGGGAGTACCATGGTGAGATAATACAGACTCTGCCCTAATCTGTACAAAAATCCAGGTGAAACCCCAGTCGCCTGATTTGCTGGGAACCTATACCTTGTGCCAAGGTTGTGCACTAAGGTTCCAAGGAACTTGCCATCATACCTGTGTGGTCATTTCAATGCCATGTCTCCAAGCACTGCTTCAAAGCCCAAGCCTCCTTTGGCCCAGCTGGACCAGCCTGCTGGCTAACGTGGCCTCCTATGTTCTCAACCTGGTGGTGCTGCCTTGTGGCATTGCCCCATCCTCTTATCCAGAACCATGGTTTGCCCAGATAGCCTCTAGCCTGCCACACCCTAGAATCAAGTGTTAGGCACCCCACAGCAAATCCTATGGAAAACAGAGCTAGGTGCCTGGCCGACGTGGCTCAGTGGTTGAGTGTTGATCAATGAATCAGGAGGTCACAGTTCAATTCCCAGTCAGGGCACATACCTGGGTTGTGGGCTTGATCTCCATTGTGGGGTGTGCAGGAGGCAGATGATCAATGATTCTCTCTCATCATTGATGTTTCTAACTCTCTCTCCCTTCCTCACTGAAATCAATCAATATATATATTTTTTAAAAAAACACAGAGCTAGGGGATAACCACTCCAAGTTTGGAGTAATACTGTCTTTCCTCTCTTCTGAGCTCCAGGCCCAGGTGTTCCTCTCTATTCCAGGCATTCGCTTCCAGATGTCCTGCAAGTACCTCACCTTCAGCATGTTCTATGCTGAACTCATCATCTCTTCCCCATATACCTGCTCTTCTCCCAATGTCATTCTCAATGAGTAATACTGCCTTTCATCCAGTCTCCAAGGTAGAAGCTCAGGAGCTACCCATCATCCACCCTCTTCTTCTTACTTCCAAATGGCAATCAAATGCTCTTTGTCCCCCTCCTAACTATCTTTCAAATTCCATCACACCATTCCTGTCATCACCACTGTAGACTAAGCCATTATTCTTTCTTATCTGTATTACCCATAGGCTTCTAGCTATTCTTCCTGCCTCCCACCCAATCCCAATCCATGCACTTCATATACATACTTATATATACATATGTATGTTATTTTTTATTGATTTCAGAGAGAAAGGGAGAGGGAGAGATGGAAACATCAATGATGAGAGAGAATCATAGATCGGCTGCCTCCTACATGCCCCCCACTGGGGATCAAGCCCGCAACCTGGGCATGTGCCCTGACGGGGAATCGAACCATAACCTCTTGGTTCATAGGTCAACACTCAACCACTGAGCCATGCCGGCCTGGCCCACCCTGCACTTCTGATCATGTCACTCCTGGAGAGGGTTCAACAATCCTTAGTGATTCTCCCCTTCAGGGAATAAGCAAGCCAGAAAGGACCTCAGTCTCCAGCCAAGATCTCTCTCCTTAGCTCTAGATTTGTCAAGTCAATTCTATTCAGGGTTCTTTTGTCATAAACTCGGCTAAAATTGAGCTACATCTAAAAAGAGAATTTTACTAGGTAGCATAACTGAAAAGTTCAGGGGTATGGGGCTTTAGTCATAGCTGCATGGAGGTGCCTAAAAAGGAATGGGCTTTACTCCATTTTTTGCTTTGTTTTACTTTTTATGGGCTGCTTCTTCAGAAAGCTTCCCATTTTATCAGGACAAGTTGCCCCCAGCAACAACAGGCTTACATCTTATTACCTTAGTAACCTAAATAGAAAGACAGCTTTCCCAATAGTTCCAGCAAAAAAACAAAGATTGAACCTAATTGACCTGGCACTGGTCATATGCCCGTCCCTGAACCAATCACTGTATAGAGGTGCCTGTTCTGATTGGCTAGGCCTAGGTCATATACTTACTCTAGTCAGTAACGAGGGAATGAGGCATGAGAAGGGAAATAGTATTATTTAAAAGAAAATGGAATGGGGAATGGTATCTAAGCAGATAAAAATTAGATGGCTACTAGGTCTGCTGCCTCCAGACAATTCCTGCTGGTTTTTCACAAACTCAGAATAGCTAAAATAAAACTTATCTTTCTCCCCAAAGACTTGTTTATTCTGGTCCCAAAACTAACCTTTACACAGTGTCCTGCTGTTGCTCTTACATATCAGTAAAATCAATGGTATTATTGCCTCAGTACTTACACGGTAGGGTACTCAATACATATTTTTGTTGAATAAATCAATAACTTAATAATTGGTGAAATAAAAGAAATCTCGAGTAACTCCATCTCTCATATCACCTTCATCTCCTGGTTTCTCATATCTGATTGGAGATAACAGATTTAAGGGAAAGTACCTGGAAATATCAACTAAAATTGCCTTGTAAGGTTGGTTTTTGAGGGGGAAATGGCTCCTGATGACCTGTGGAGCAATGAAAAGGAGGTTTTTGAGTTACACAGACTCTTGGTTCCACCATTTATTTATTTATTTATTTATTTATAACCTTAAGCAGGCAGTATCACCTTCTTGGCCCCAGTTTCCTCATCTTTAAAATGGAGAGAATGGGTCTATCTTATAAAGTTATGGGAACACTTCAATGAGGAAATGTATGTAAAGTGCCGGGAATGCAGTCAGTCTCAATAAATATAAGTTCCAAACTCTTTCCTGAGTTCTTTTGAAACCTCTAGGTGCCAAAGAGAGTTCTGTGCCCAGAGTAGGTGTTTAACATCTGTTCAATGAATTCCAATTTTATTTACAGATTCTGGTACTGAGTATTAGACGCAAGCACTATCAACTGAAACAGGCTTCCGGAAGACAATCTTCCTTTTTAAATAAAAATTTAAAAACAAATTACATGTTCATGGTAAAATAAATAAACAAATGAATAAAGAAGGAATAGTGAGGAAAAGTTCCCTTTTCCATTGTTGTCTTCCTCTAATTTTTCCTTTTTATTTAAAGATGTATGTATTAATTAAAATAAAATTTCAAACAAAATATCCTCCCACCCCACCTTTAGGATCTTTTCCCAAAAGTAATGACCATAAATATTTCTAAAAAAAAAAAGATTTGACCACCAGGTCAAGGAGTTTAAGTTTTTATCATGTTGGCATTGGTGAATCAATTTTAAATAGGAAAATATAAGTCAATTTTTAATATTATCCCACAGATTTTTAAAGAGGTTGTATTTCTAGTACAGAGTAGCAGGTGCTCAAAAAATATATTTATTGAATGAATGTACTTTCATTTTTTATATATTTTTATTGTTGATATTATTACAAATATTTCCCATCCCCCCCTTTCCCTCCTCCTTCCAGCCCCTCCCCCCTCCCCTCAGCTCTTTACCACCCTATTGCCCATGTCCATGGGATGAATGCACTTTTAAAAAACACATTGTGAGTACAGCAAGGTATTAAGGTACCAAGCTATTTCTTTACTGTTCACAAATACCCAGGACCTTTAGGACATTTAGAAGCCTAGGTTCAAGGCTGTTAGCACCCAGGAGAGGGAACTATGGGATAGAAGAGAGTCTCTCTCAGTTTTCCCCAAGGTTGAAAAAGAATGGAAATAACTTTGAGTGAGCACTTATGGGGTGCTTTGTATACATCGCTTCATGGAATCTCTATACTCACCCGGCCAGTTAGGGATTAGTTCCATTATTAGGATGCAGAAAGTGAAACTTATAATTTGAAGTGACTTATCCATAGTAACTC